AGTTCCTCTTATCCAGTTTTCAGTTCTGTCTCAGGGGTAATTTTTCCACGAGTAGTTGTAAATTGGCTGTGTCCACGGGAGGAGGTGAGTTCCGAGTCTGCCTACGCCGCCATCTTGACTCCCTCATACAGTTCTTTTTTGATAAGCGCATACAGTGGTGTAACCAACACTAATCAAAATATAGAACACCTCCCTCATCCCCTCAAATGTCCCCGTTGCACCCTCTAGAGTCAGCTACTTCCCCATGCTTAACCCATGACAATCGCTGATTTGTTTTCTGTCTTTATAGTTTTGTCTTTTTTGAGATGTCATATAAATGGAATCATACAGTCTGTAGCATTTTGAATCTGGTTTGTGTCATCTAGTACAGGCATTTCAATTGCATCCATCTTGTTGTGTGTATCAGGAGTTTGTTCCATTCGATTGTTGAGTAGTATCCCATTGTATGGATATATGCATTGCAGTTTGTTTATTCATTCCCTGGTTGAGGGACATTTCGGTTGTTTCTAGTTTTTGGTTATTACAATGAGGTCATTATAAACCTTTGTGTACATGTTTTTGTGTGAACATCAGTTTTCATTTCCCTTGAGAAAATACCTAAGAGTTGGATTGCTAGGCCATGTAGTAAGTGTATGTTTAACTTTATAAGAAATTGCCAAGCTATTTTCCATAGACCATTTTGCATTCCCACCAGAAATGTATGAGAGTGCCACTTGTTCCACAGGCACATTGGCACTTGGTATCTTCCATTTTTATTTTATTTTTTCTTTGCCATCCTATTGAGTGTGTAGTGGTATCTCATTTTTCATTTGCATTTTCCTAACGGCTAATGATATTGAGCATCTTTTCATGTGTTTATTTACCATATGTAAATCTTTGGTGAAGTGTCCAAATTTTATGCCTATTTTTTAATTGGGCTGTTTATTTCCTTATTGTTGAGTTTGAGGACTTTATATATTCTGGATATAAATCCTTTACCAGCTACGTGGTATGCAAATATTTGCTCCCAGGGTCTGGTTTATCTTTTCATTCCCTTAACATTATTTTTCAAAGAGCAGAAATTCTTAATTTTGATGAAGTCCAACTTATCTTTTTTTTTTATGGATCATGCTTTTGGTGTCATATCTAAGAATTTTTTACCTAACTCAATGTCACAAAGATTTTCTTCTAGAAGTTTTATAGTTTTAGGTTTTATATTTAGGCCTCTGATCCATTTTAAGTTAATTTTCCTATATGGTTCAAGGGTTACTTTTTGCATATAGATGTCCAATTGTCAGCATTCTTTGAAAAGACTATCCTTTCTCTCACTGTGTCAAAATCATGTTGATAATATACATGTGGGTCTACTTCTTGGCTCTCTATTCTGTTATATTGATCTATATGTTTGTCTTTTCTCGAATACCACACTGTCTTGATTACTTTAGCGTGATAGTAAGTCTTGAAATCAGGTGGTGATTGTTTTAGCTATTCTAGATTTTTGCCTTCCCATATACATTTTAGAAACAGCTCATTGATTTCGATTTAAAAAATCTCCTGCTGGGATTGTGATTGGAATTGCATTGAATCTGTACATTGGATTAGGGTAGAATTGGTATCTTAACAATACTGAGCATTCCAATCCATGATCATGGCATATCTATCTATTTTTCAGATTTTTATTTCTTTCATAGTGTTTCATAGTTTTTAGCATACAAATCTTGCATATATTTTGTTAGATCATTACCTAAGTATATTATGGGTTTTGATGATAGTGTAAATGATATTGTTTTTATTTCAATTTCTAATTGTTCATTGCCTATATATAGAAATATAATTGATTTTTGTATAATTGACCTTGTATCCTACAACTTTGCTAAACTAGTTCTAGTAGCTTTTTTGTAGATTTTGTGGGGATGGTTTCCTACATAAACAATCATGTCGTTTGTGAATAGAGATGGTTTTATTTTTTTATATTCAAAGGGTATACCTTTTCTTTCTTGCCTTATTGCACTGGCTAGGACCTCTAGTATAATGTTGAATATAAGTGGTAAAAGTGGCCATCCTTGCCTTATTATTAATCTGAGAGGGAAAGCATTGTCATTCACCATTGAATATAAAGTTAGCTGTAGGTTTTTTGTAGAACCTATTACCACGTTGAGGCAGTTCCTTCTGTTCTTAGTTTGCTGAGGGTTTTTTTAACCATGAACAGATGTTAAATACTATCAAATGCTTTTTCTACATGTATTGAGATGATCATATTTTTCTTCTTTAGTCTATTGATAATTTTCTTTAGTACACTGGTCAAATACAATGATTGATTTTCAAATGTTGAACCAGCTTTGACAACCAGCTTTGACCAAAATGTTGAACCATCATAACAACCAACAGTTGTCATGATGCATTATTCTTTTCATATATTGTTGGATTCAATTTGCTAGTGTTTTGTTAAGGGTTTTTGCATCTATGTTCATGAAGAATACTGGTTGTGGCTTTCTTTTCTTGTAAAGTATTTGTCTGGTTTTGGTATCAGGGTAATGCTGGCCTCATACAATTAGTTGGTGTTCCTTTCTCTTCTATTTTCTGGAAGAGTTTGTTTAGAATTGGTATTATTTCTTCTTTAAATATTTGGTAGAATTTGCCAGTGAAGCCATTTGGACCTGGAGTTTAATTTGGTAGAAGGTCTTAACACAATTTCAGTTCCCTCAATAGATATAATTTCAGTTCCTTTAATAGATAACCTGAATAGTGACCTTCAGCAGTTTTCATCTCAACTAATTTGTCCAATGAAGTTGTAGAATTCATTGACAAATAGTCATTCATAATATTCCTTTATTACCCTTTTTAGTGTCTATAAGGTCTTAATGATGTCCCCTCTTTCATTCCTGATATTTACAATTTGTGTCTTTTTTCTTTTTGGGAGCAGTTTGTCTAGAGGTTTGTATTAGTTATCTATTGCTGCATAACAGATTACTCCAAAACTTAGTGGCCTAAAGCAACAAACACTTATTATCTCACAATTTTTCTGAGTCAGGAGTCTGGGAGTAGTTTAGCTAGTTGGTTCTGATTCAGCATCGTTCATTGGCCTGCAATAAGTATGTCAGCTGGAGCTGCAGTCATCAGGTTTGACTGGGGCTGGAGGATCTGCTTCCAAACTCACTCACAGGGCTGTTCACTAGAGGCTTCAGTTCCTCAACACGTGGGTATGGCATGGGAGCTGGCTTCCCCCAGCATCAGTTATCCAAGAGGAGAGAGCAAGAAAGAGAGTCTAAGATTCTTGGAAGTAGAATACCATCACTTCTGCCATATGCTATTGGTCTCACAGACCAACCCTCATAGAATGTAGGAGGGGACTACAAAGGTAACATATACAAGGAGGTGGGGGTCATCAGGGGCCATTGTGGCAGCTGGCTACCATAAGGATTATCAATTTTATTGATCTGTTCAAAGAACCAGCTTTTGGTTTCTATGATTTATCTCTACTATGTTTCTATTCTGATTTGATTGATTTCTGCTCTTATCTTTATTATTTCCTTTCTTCTGCAGATAGATAAATCTTACCGAGAAGATGTGTATGATCTCTTTCCTGGGACATTCCAAACCACTGAACTGTTTGCAGATCACCCAGGGACATGGCTGTTACACTGCCATGTCTCTGACCACATCCATGCTGGCATGGAGACAACTTATACGGTCCTTCAGAACATAGGTACTATGGTCTGTCAGTGATGCTAGGTGCTAGCTCAGCCTTCCTGTAGACCTTCAAAACAGGAGGCAAGAGAGCCCCCATCAGGAGCTCAGAGTCAAGTAAGAGAGACAGACATGTAGATAGTAACTATGATAGAATATGATACGTGTCAAAATAGAATGCAGTGTACAGGGTTCAGTGGCAGCAGTAGGAGGCAATGGTTAGTAGTTTGGGGATACGAGCCAAGATTCCACAGAAGCCATAATGCTTCAGATGGATCTTAATGGGTGAGCCAAAGCTTGAAAGGTGGATGCCGTAGGAACAGCATGTGTACTGGTATGAAGAGCAGCATAGTGGGAATCCAAGACAGACTTGCAGATATGGATGGGATGAAGTCCTCATTGGTGAGATGACATAACTCTTGAAACAACTCATGTCATGAAAAGAATCCCCTTCAACTTCTGTTGTTTATAAAACAATCAACGTCTTCTTTGTCCAGACAACAGGATTCCTTACTCCACGAAGTCTCCTTCTGGAGGAGGGTCACAGCCGGCCACGGTGCCCTCCAACGGTAATGATGCCCTCCCCGAATCCTGCATGTGAGTGGTCAGTGTTCACTCCCCAGGGAAAGGCAGAGGCCTGACACCTCACTTTTCCTTTTCACAGAAGAACCTGGCAAGGAGCAGCTTTATTTCTTTGGCAAGAATCTGGGTCCTAGAGGAGCCAAAACAGCCTTGGTCATCCTTTTCATCATCGGACTCCTCCTCCTGATCACCACGCTGATTCTCTCCCTCAGACTGCGCTCTGCGAGGAAGCAGGTGGCATACCGGGAAGTGCAGTCCTGCGCGCTCCCCACGGATGCTCTGTGAACGGGCTAGTCTTCCTCAGCAGGGAAAGTGGTCAAGGCATCAGTCACGGAGGAAAGCTGATACTATGTCGTGGATCAGGCTCCGATCCTCTAGAACACAATCAAAGCAATTTGCTTTTATTTATTTATTTTTAAATGGGCTGTGAATAATCCTCAGGTATAAGATACAGAAAGAGGAGAATGGGCATGACTGAGAAAACAGGCTCAGTCTGTTCTCTGAATGAATTCGCTGAAGTGGGGAGACCCTCTGAAGGATGTCTTTATTTTCCATCTTTCATAATTCTTAGATTAGACAGTGATTCCTTAACTAACCATCTCTATACGGTTTCTAGATGGACAACTTCAGGAAAGAGCTTATACTGCCTCAGACATCTAATGGCACTGATTTTTCAGCACTGTTATGTAAGATGCTTCCCTTAGTTGTTCCAGGGAAAATAGCTTTCTGAGGAGTTCATGGAAATGCCTAAATCAGTATCTGCTGATAGAATTTGACCAAATGAATTTTCTGGAGGCTTTAGCCAGCTTTCCTGCCCTTTTCTCCTTTAACATAAATAGTCTGTGCACTGTTTGCAAGAAAAGGCAAAGTGTAAGCATTTTTTAATTTTTAAAATTGCTGCTGTTTTTATGCAAATCTGTAGCGATACTTGAATGTTTACAGATCACTTCACGTTCTATGTTTTTACAATGTTTCCATGGCAATGTTTGTATTTTCTTAAATCATCTAGAGAATTCGTATTTGTATTCCAGAACGTGGAGGGCTGGAATCTATGAAATAGCAGGCTAGATTCTCCCACGGTGAGTCAGAGGCTCCCTGAGAGTTTAGCAGGAGCTTCTAAGCTGCAGGGACACTTTGCAGGAGGCAAGTCTAGGCTTGAATCTTGAGTCTGATTTTTCATTGTCAGGGGGGTCTTTCCAAGTCTCCATCTGCTATGAAATAAGAACAGTCTCATCATGTGAGAAACACCAGGAAGAATTCATCAATGCAGCTGGCTGGTTGGGAGAAGGGATCTCACAAAATCCTCAATTCCGTGCCTCTTAAAGACATAGCCCTTTATAGGAAGAGGAAAAAAAAGAAAAGGCTAGAAAAAGAGAGTCCCAGTGGGAATCTTTTTAAACCATTAAATCAGCTTTGAAGATATGGATTACAGTTTTCAAGGCTCAAATACAAAAATAAAATATTGAACAACTAACCCCATTACGAGGCAATTCATACTCTCTCTACGTGTGCCTAAACATTAGGTGTAAGATTGATAAAAGCAATATTGTTTATTACTAGACTGAGAAATTGCCCTAGCTCAGAGCAAGATGCCCTGCAATGCCAATGCCAGATGAGTGATATTAGTACATCCGCTTTAGCAGTGGATCATTTGGATGTCCAGGTGAATGAGTAGGACCTAATAAATACTCTGGTGGAGGGACCTTTCATACCTTCTCATTTTCATCTTGGTGAGGGGAAACGGGTAATTTGATAGAAGCTATAGTCTTACATAAAACAGGATGTGAATGCTAATAGTTATGTTCATAGTTTGCTTGAATGTCATATCAAACAAGGTACGCGAAGGATAATTCCAGCCTGCTAACCACTGATAATGTAATTTTGTAGTATGTGTTCTACAGTTTTCATACATGTGTAGGCTGTATAATTTCATACTAATAATTATTATAAATGCCTTATTTATAACTCAGACAATAAATTATTTAGTTGTAAGTTTATTCCTTTTCTCTTAGTTTATTTTTTAAATGAAAATGAAACCACAAAGTAGTTTGATTACACCATTTCTCTTTTTAATAAAGTTTCACAAATTTTAAGATGGCTATTTGCATGTTTTTTTTTTTTTCACTAGAAATTACCTATCACTAGGCCTGGGGCAGGGAGTTGGTTAAAGGAGAATTATCTTTTAGATATTTAGCAACTATTCTAGTTATATTTGCTAGAGGAAATGAAACAAAATAACGGTATATCTCTGTAAGTAATGACTCTCCTCAAACATTGTTTCCTCAAGTGTACCACACTTCCTCATTCTTAGCCTCACTCCTTAGAGGAAATCAATCACATTTACACCCATCTTTTCCTCTGGTTACAATGGAAGAAGGGTCTCTGCTCCTAGCGGGGCCAGGCCCTCACTTGGCTCTGGACCTCATCCCTTCTTGTTTTCTCAAGGACTTCATTCCCTCAGTTATCAGTTTTCCCTCCTGCATGAAGTCATCAGCAATACCCACCATTAAAAACAGAAAACAAAGAGCCGTTGTCCTTAACTCCATAACCCCCTTGAACCCAGCTTCTCTGTTCCCTGGGAGAGCAGAACTTAAAGCTCTGTCCACACTTGCTGCCTGTACCACCTCACCCCATGCATTCCAATGGCTTCCAATCCAGTGGGCCCCGCCCCCACATCCCAATCTGCTGTTGTCAAAATCAAGAACCATGATGGCATTTCCAGGGGCTTTGAAACTGGGTGCAGGACTGGGGGTATACGGGAACTCTCTGTACTATCTGCTCAATTTTTCTATAAATCTAAAACTGTTCTAAAAACTAAAGTCTATTTTTTACAAAAGCAATGTTACATACACTCTCGCACGACACCTTAAACTCCTGAGGTTGGTAATGACAGCTATCAAATGCTAAGTGCCCATGATGTGGCAGGCACTGTTACATATATTATCACATGTAATCCTCAGAACACCCAATGAGGTAGGCAGTATTATCCCTATAGGGAAATGAGGAAATTGAGTCTTAGACATTTCCAGTGACACATACCCTTGGTCACACAGCAAGTAAGTGGCAAATCCAGGAGTTGAACCCAGGCTTTCGGTTTCTTATTTCCTCCCAAAGAACTTGACGCATGTCAGATTATTTGATCTGATTTTTGCAGCGGGAAGAATGGCTCCCTTAACTACCGCTCTCTTCTGTTCCATTCATCTTTATCCTCAAAGACAGCAGACCAGTTTGGGCTCTCATTACCTCTCATGTGTAAAATTTCGACAGCCTCTTACCTGGCCTCTCCACCTCCCTCTGCATTCCAATCCACTCTACATGTGACTGGAAGATTAATCTTTTTAAAGCACAATCCATTACTCCTCCCCAAAACTCCCTAATGCCTTCTGGAAAAAAAAGTCCAGATTACCTTCTTTGGCCCCAACCTTTTCACCTTTGACTCCCTCGCCTACATCTTCCTCATACCAGTGTCAGATGTCTCTACTTTCCATTTCCTGACAAGTTCTCTTTCTTGCCTGTATTGTAAATTCAACAAACGTGGACTGACTTCCTGCTAAACGTGAAAACTCTGCCAGGGTTGAGGGCAATTTATGAAATTGCTGAAATTCCATCCAGATCCTCAGAGGAACTTGACATCTAATGAGAAAGCAGGGCCGGCCCTGTGGCTTGGTAGTTAAGTGCGCGCGCTGCGATGCTGGCGGCCCGGGTTCGGATCCCGGGTGCGCATCGAGGCACCACTTCTCTGTCCATCCTGGGGCCGAGTCCCACATACAGCAACTAGAAGGGTGTGCAGCTATGACATACAACTATCTACTGGGGCTTTGGGGGCAAAAAATAAAAAAAAAAAAATAAAAAAAATAAAAAAAAAAGAGAAAGCAGACATGCAGTTAACCATCACACCAGGCAAATGAGCTAAACGCTAGACCAGAAGAAGGAAATGCTAAGGGACAGAGTGATTTCATCACAATGGGGGCGATCCTGGAAGGCTTCCAGAAGAGGGGACCTTTGAGCCTGTTGTAGATTTTGACATGGAGAGAAGGGGCACAGCACCATGCTTTCATTCATTCCTAGAAAGTCCTGTCCTAGCTCAGCCTGCCACAAACCGACTCATCCTCCCAGGCCCCACTCTTTCTATGCACCTCCCTTGGCACACCCACCTTTCACAATATTACTTACCCCTTCTAACTTGTATTATAGTTAATTGTGCACATACCTTATTTCTCTTTCTAAGCCATGAGGTCTTTGAAAGTGGAATGCATCCACTTCATCTTTGCTTCCCCATCCATTGAACCCAGAACTGGTCCACCACTGGCCTGTAACAGATGCCTTGAATGTATGGATAAATGAGTGCAAGTTGGGCTACTTGTTTTTAAACAATTTTCACGGTGAAACATTTTCAGATTCCTTCAGACATTTAATAAATATTAATTAAAGTACCTACTATGTGTCAGGCATTTGTGTTAAGTGTTGGAGATAGGAATGGTATACATGGATATGGACCTGCCCTCATGAAGCTTACCATATAAAGGGAGAGACAAACATTAAATAAATGAACAGTTAAACAAATACTGGTTGAATTATATTTGTGATTATCATTAAGAAGGAAAAATAGAGGACAACAATACCAGATAACATTTACACAGTACTTATCAGTTGCCAGGCACTTTATCAGTGCTAGGCACTTTACATATTAACTCATTTGATCCTTATCACAATCCTAAGAGATATAACCACTTTACAGAGGAGAAAACTGAGGCACAGGAGGGTCAAGTAACTTTCCCAAGGCCCACAGCTAGTAACTGGTAGTGAGTATCACAAGAATATTTAATAAAGGGACCTACTCTGGTTTAGTACTATCAGAGAAGACTTTCCTGAGGAAGTGACATCTAGCTGAGATCAGGAGGGTGACTAAGAGGCTATGGTGGGAGTGCTTTGCGCAAGGGAAGGCCTCGGGGAGGCAAGGGGCCTGGCTAACTTGAAGAACTGAAGGGGAAGCTGGTGAGGCAGGCAGTGGCCATGCTAAGAAATCTGAATTTTATCCTAAAAGCAATGTACACTTGAAGTAGAGGACTGACATGATCAGATTGCAGCTTTCAAAAGCTCCCTCTGAGGGGCCGGCAAGGTGGCGCAAGCGGTTAAGTGCGCGCACTCCGCTGCGGAGGCCCCGGGTTCCCCAATTCAGATCCCGGGTGCGCACCAACGTACCACTTGTCAAGCTCTGCTGTGGCAGCGTCCCATATAAAGTGGAGGAAGATGGGCATGGATGTTAGCCCAGGGCAAGTCTTCCTCAGCAAAAAAAAGAGGAGGATTGGCAGATGTTAGCTCAGGGCCGATCTTCCTCAAAAAAAAAAAAAGCTCCCTCTGGCAGCTATGGGGGAGAATGGCTTGTGGGCCTGTGGGGTCCATCCCTGTATGTGGTTAGCACAGACGATGAATCAGTGTTGGCAGTCCAGGTGGAGAAACACTGTCAGATTTTCTATATTTAGGAAAGAGAAGCAAGAGAATTTAGAAATTGATTATGGCAGCTGAGAGATGGAGCGTTAAATAGGACATTCCATGTTTCTGGCTTGGGCACGCTGGGGCCCAGGGCAGGCAGCCCCAAAACATCCCACAATGGCATATTGATTATTTTGAATTAAGGTTACTCATTTTGACTTAAGGTAAAATTTTGACCCTCCTCTCTCTGTTGCTCCTGAAAGCAGGAAATAAATCTCCCATATGAAAGGTACCCTCCCCATAGGAGGGGGTAGAGACATCCTTATCACCAGAGCTAGGGAATTCAGGGCCAAGAAGCCTATATAAACAAATCATGTTAGATTTACTAGTTTATGACCTCAATTCCTCACTAATTATGACTAATTACATACCCTGAACCTAAGTTTCTTTGCCCTGTCAACTCCTCTTTGCAGAAAAAGATACATATAACCTGCTTGCCTCCTTCACTCTCTGAGCATCATTTTTATGATCTCCCAAATGGACGTATTGTTTTTCCTCCTGTCAGTCGAGTCTTGTGTCAATTTTATTATCAGTCCAGCCATAAGGGAGGCTCCTCTCAAGAGGGAGAGGTTCCCCCTCCTCAACAGGCCTATGGGTGGATGGTAGTGCATTAGCAAGATGGGGAAGAGGAGTACAGGCTGAGAGGAAGATGAGGATTGCAGGCCTGGCCATTATGAGTCTGAAGTCCTGTGAGCTATCCAAGTGAAGAGTTCTGTAGCCCTTGGATGAGTGCTCAGAGGACAGGCCAGGGTAGAGAGGTACATGTGGGAGTTGAGGACATATAGAAGAGGCTTGCATGTGTGGACCTGTCCACATACAAAGAGAAGAGAAGGCAGCCCAGTCCAGTCCCAAGCAGTCCTCACGTTTAAAGGTCCTGTCTGCTCCAAATGTTCCTGATTAGAGCATCTCCTGTCTATTTCTCAGCATCCACTTCCTGCCAGTGGTTCAGAAGAAGCTCTCCCCCAACACCCACTCACCCGCGGACACCTCTCTGCTGGCTCACCGACCAAGGCTCCGACTGGGAAAGCAGGAGCAGTAGCGCGGACCAAGCGGCGATAATTAAGGTCTGAGACCTAGTCATACGCCAGGGCTCACCACCCAGACCCCGCAGAGCCTCCCTGTCACGCAGAGCTCTCGGAAGGGGCCAGCGCTCCCTCTTCCACACAGGCTCAGTCTACACTGCTCCATTGGCTTTTACGGCACGCGTTGCTCTTTGAAGCGTCTGCAGCTCTTTTTAACCTGATTCCACCATGTAGAAATGTTGAGGGTGGGGCGTAAAAGGGGGCCATCCTGTCCACAGGGTAAGGGGCCACTTTCAGAAAGGGGTCGATTTCAAAAACCCCGGGTGCCTGGAAGTGGGGAGAATGAGGATGGAAGGGGCATGAGAATTTTCAGAGGTACCGCTCGCTCGCTGGGAAGATCTCTTTGCTGGGGTGAATCCCAGGGTTGTGGGATGCTGCCGCGCCCACCTCGCCCCTCCTCACCGCGGTTTCCGGAAACTCCACGCCCCTAGGTAATAGGTCTGCCCCATCGTTCCGGAAGGGCGCAGCAGAGCGGGCTGAGAGCGCACGGGCCTGCCCAAAGGAGCTTTGGCTGCTGGGGCGGAGCGGCGGGGCTGGGACGAGAGGGAAGCGCTTTGTGCGGTGGTTGGTTCTCGCGCCTGCGGGCGCGCCGGAGAGGCGCCAAGCCCGGGTGGCGCGCGCGTCCCGGGGACCTGCGGGGGCGGGTCCGCGCCCCTCCGGCGCCGGAGGAGAGAGCGCGAGAGCTCGTGCGCCCAGGCGCCCGTGGAGGCAGATTTGGCTCTGTGGCTCGCTGAGAGCCAGGCCACCGAGACAGAAAGGCTGGTGGGGTGTGCGAGCAACTGGGGAGTTGGCAAAGGAAAAGCGAAAGTCGCAGGTCCGGCCAGTGCCGGGGTGAAGGCGCAGCGCAGCGCTCCTGACGCCGGAGGTACCCGGGCCTGCCCTCGTGGGCCTGCCTGGCCGCGCCTGGCGCGCCGCAGCCATGGCCATCGCCCACCTGGCCACCGAGTACGTATTCTCAGACTTCTTGCTGAAGGAGCCCTCGGAGCTCAAGTTCAGGGGGCTTCGGCTGGAGCTGGCCGTGGACAAGATGGTCACGTGCATCGCCGTGGGGCTGCCCCTGCTGCTCATCTCGCTGGCCTTCGCACAGGAAATCTCGATTGGTAAGGCCCGGGAGCCGGAGGGCGGGGCGGGGCGGGGCGGACCCCGCCTGCTGGGCCGCGTTATCAGAGGTGCCCGGCTCTGGTGAGAAGTGATTTTACCGCGCGCCGGCCTGTATCCCCGAAGTCCCCCCGACAGCGCGATGGGCGTGAACGTTGGGAAGAAAGGTAGCCCCGGTTTTATGGTCTGAAGCATTCTTTGTCCACGTGCTTTATTTGTACCCCTGTGGGCTCTGCTCGCATCCTTACTCCTCAGTTCTTCTGTTCCCTGCGCCCCGCTGATCCCGAATGTGGCTTAGTGTTCATGTGCCACTCGTGACCGGCGCCGTTGCTACCAGATTTGCACAAAACTGCCTCCTCTCTTCCCCTGCACACATTTGTGTAGTCACCTAAAATTTTGTACCAGAGAAGTTCCTGAGTGGCTGAACAGAGGATGTGAAGACAAGTGCTCCATGGAAAGTGTGTTTTTTCTTCATTATCTTATTTTAATTGATATTTATTGAAACTTTAGCTCTGCAGGGTTGTGAATGATAGAAAATACCTGCACTTAGCAGGTATTGGAGGGAAACCAAAATCCTCCACTTGCATGGCCTTATGAATGTGTGATGAAGGAGTCCCCGTCATGTAAATTCTGATTGGTAGTAATAACAGTTCTGTGAGATTTCCAGTCTGGTGGTTTGGACAGGATCACGTGGCCAGTAAGTGTGTGGTCTTCCCCATCAGCTCTTCTGACTTTCAGCACAGGAGAGACTATTTATGAGTCAACAGGAAGGCGGTATAGGGCAGCTAGAAACAGTTCTGTATGGGAAAAGAGAGAGAGACCTGTGGCGCTGGACCTTGGGAAAGCTTATTTGAGAGGTTGGGCTGGCGCTGAGCCTTTGAGTGTGTGTGAGATTTGGATAAGCAGAGGGGAGACCTTTTGCCAAGATTTTGAGATGGTAGGAAATGTTACATGTTCCTGGAAGGTGAGAGGCAGTGACTAACTGAGGCAGGAGGGTTGTCAGGGTTCCTGGGGTATGAAAGTGAATATGAGCCTGGGTCAGTTAGAACAGAGGAGTACAGCCTTGATGGTTTAAAAAGTATGAAGTTATTATTTGAGCATAGGGTGGACTGGTTGAAAACAGCACTTCATAAATAATAGCCTGGTGGTAGCATGTAGGGTCTGTGAAGGTGGAGAGTTGGACCTACGGAGGCCGGATGCCGTAAGATGGGGCATCAGTTGAGGTCTTGTGCGTGGTTGGGGCCAAGAGTGGAAGGGAAAGGATGGGTAGGGGGATTTCCGAGAGAGCAAGGAGCAGTAAGCAGCACTTGGGTACCTCGTTTTTAATAAGCTGTAAAGGGCAGAGACTGATCAGAGCTGATGGAAAGGCTGCAGGCCTGGGTGAGTGGAAAATGGTGGTGGTGTTGATAGGAATAGTGAAGTTGAGGAAAGTATTGGTTAGAAAAGGGTTACAATGAGTTTGATTTTGTGATCTACAGCACCGAGTTGTTCAACTTGGCAGGAAGTTGCCAAAATCATTGTGCTCAATAGCACTCAATAAAAATGTAGTGAAGGAAATGCTAGAGCACGTTGAAGAACTCTCCTGGGTTCTCCCTTGGAGAATGGCTGAGCTGAGGGAGATGGGGTGCCTTCCAGGGCAGGGACAGCACAGAAGAAGGATGCTGAGGTCTGGCCAAAGGTTACAGTTGCCAGGTCCCAGCCAGTGCCTGGAATTCACCAGTTAGAGGCAAGTGGTTCCTGGTGTGGGGAGGGAGACTTCTCAGTTGCTGTGGTACCCATGTCACTTAGCAGCACAAGTGCTGTCCTGGTGAGGCCAGTCATGGCTCCCTCCCAGACGTCCGCCCCTGATCATAGCATTAATGGATGGAGGTCATCATGGGAGGGGCGAAGTTGTCCCACTTGACTTATAAGCTTAGGTTTTATTGTAAGTGCCTTAAATGCCCTTTTGTGGTATTTTTCTGGTGAGGAGGAATCTGTGTTCGCAATGTTGAAGGGCTCTTCTGTGGAAGACAGATGAGTGTCATTCCGTGTAGCTCAGAGACCACACGAGTGTCACCAGTGTGGAAACTGCAGGGAGACAAGAGTTCTGTGCCACAGAAGGACCCCCATTTCTAACACACCTGTCCCCAGATGCCTCTAGAGGTGCAGCATGTTTGACTCTGAGACAGAGAGATTGGGGAAATAGCTGGGTGACAACTCTGTGTAGAATACAGGCATAAATGGACTGCATAGCCTTTAAGCTCTGAAATTCGAGGAGTATTTATCTAAACTATTGAAGAAATGAATTCCTTAAGTGTGTACCTTTCAACACACCAAACTCTGAATGGGATTCATGTTCTTGGGGTCTTTTGATAGGGTCTTCAGTTTCCCAGGCTTAGGGCTATTTGGGGCCTGATGCCGAGATGTCCCTCCCCAGGGGCTGCTTTGATGAGAATGCCCAGGTGCCCTAACCTGGCATGTTAGGAGACTCTGGGAGAGGAGAGCCTCTGACTCCTGCCAGGATGCTTCTTGCCCGGAGCCAGGCTGGCTGGACCACATGAGCAGCAGGGGCAGCCAGTGGATTCCTGGAAAGGCTGTCTGGTCTGCCCAGGGAGCCTCCTCTCCCTGCTGCCCTCCCAGCGGGCAGCTGCGGTTCTGGGCAGAGGGAGTGGGTCCCTCCGGGTTAGCTCTGCTCTGCTGCTGTCATTACAGGGCAGCATCGGTCCTGCCCCAGTGAGCCAAAGGACAGATATAACTGCAGCTGCTTCCAATGCTATTAGCTTACACTTGCCCTGTTTCCTCCAACTGAGTCAGCAGTGGGGTGGCTTAAGCCATCTGCTCTGCTGTGGCTGAATTTAGGCACATTTTTGGGAATATGTTCAGGCTGCTTTTCAGCCTGCAAAGCTGATTGATTCTTTTCAGGGGTGTTTATAGGAATGGGATAATATTTAGGGTCTTAGGGTGTAGGCCCCATAACGGCATATCCTTAACTCACACTTAAAACCAAAGAGCCAAGAGATCCTCCTGGCCCTCTTCCAGAAGGACACTTGCTGTCCGAGGTTACTGATGCGTACATGTTTTTCTTTTTTTTTTTCTTTTTTTTTTAAATTTTTTGTTTATTGCAGTAACATTGGTTTATAACATTGTAAAAATTTCAGGTGTACATCATTGTACTTCTATTTCTGCATAGATTACATCATGTTCACCACCAAAATACTAATTACAACCCATCACCACACACATGTACCGAATTATCCCTTTCACCCTCCTCCCTCCCCCCTTGTTTTTGTTGTATTTTTATTGTACAAATAGTACCTAAATACATTCTCATGGTAAAAGATTCATAAACCTCCTTCACTATGTTCTAGAGGTGACCACTGTGGACACTTGTACAGCCTTAAAGTCCCCTTTCTCTGCATTCATTTAACATGTGTACACATTATTATATTTTTAGAAATTGAGTCATAACCATAGTGGTTTGCTTTTTCCCACTTAGTATGTTTTGAAGAGCATTGCGTGTCAGTACATAAGTATTACCTCACTATTTTTAATAGGCAGGCAGAATAACGTTCCATAGCGTAGTATGTTCTTAACATAATTCATCTAAGCACTCCCCTAGTGATGGACATTTAGATTCTTTCAAAATTTCGCCTATTACGCATAAAGCTTGTTCATACATAAATCTTTGTAAATCTCCCCTCCTCCCAATATTGAAAGGAAAAGAGAAGAGAGCAGGATCAATTTCCAGAAGGATGAGATCATTTTCCAAGACAAGTTTTGCATTCCTGAGTTCTTATTTGAATAAGTAGAAAAAAACACTGTGTTGTATACCCTCCACCTCTAACTCCCTCTGTGTGACTCTGTCAGAAGATTGGAAGAGGCGTTTTGATGTGTTCATGGTTTTAAGAAAGAAATAGCCTCTTTCAGGGTTAAAATTGTGATTTTCAGTGGACTTCTTCATGTGCTTTCATAGCACACCAAAAGTTTCCTTCCTAGCACTTTCCACAAGTTGCAAGTAGGTAATTATTTGTTGAATACTGTCTCCCCAGGAGACTGTAAGTTCACTGGGGACAGGGACCATCTGTCCACTGTCGGGCTGACTACTCTGTCCATGGCTTCCAGCAGAAAAGTTGATACATAGTAGGCATTCAATAGAGTGTGTAAATGACAGAATCATCAGAGGTGTCAGTAGGATTTTAGCATTTCTGGATACTGAGTGTTAGTTGTTATACACAAAATGGAATTTTTGTGTATCTTGAAAGAGTTACTGTTAAAAAAATTTCCTTCAAAAATATTTGAAGACTCTTGGGGCCAGCCCAATGGCATAGTGGTTAAGTTCCACGCTCTGCTTCAGTGGCCCAGGGTTCATGGGTTCAGATCCCAGGCGCGGACCTACACACAGCTCATGCAGCCATGCTGTGGCCTCATACACCACATGTATGTGGGCTTTGTATGTCCCACATACAAAGTAGAAGAGGGTTGGCAACAGATGTTATCTCAGGGGCAATCTTCCTCACCAAAAAAGAAAATTTGAAAACTCTGTAGTGTCACTGGAGCCAACTAGAATAGCAGTCATAAAGCAAGGAATATGAACTGACAGATAATAAGCAAACATTTCGTAATGAGGAGAAAAAAAGAAGAAAAGAAAATGAGGCTGTGGAAAAAAATCTGTTATTTCAGCATAGGTGAAACTCTCATCCCCGGCAAAAACTGGACATACGTCTTGGAACCTTTGTAGAATCTAGGTTTGGATGAGTGACATCATTTTTAAAAACCATGCAAACACTGGCCTTCCCCTGCAGATTGCTTCCTTGGATTGTTTTCTTCTCAAACCCCTGACCGAGGCAGTGAGAGTTTGGGCCAGAGGGGAGAAGGGCAGGCAGATTGGGAGCGTTGTGCCCTGGCTGAGTGAGGCAGGCACAGCTGTGTGCCTTGGGGTCACTGAGGGCAGCGTTGGGGATACAGGTTGCTGGGGAGGAGGGACCTAGAGAGAAGCTGTGTGTACTGAGGCAAGCCTGGCTCT